TAATGTCCAAACTTGCAAAGCAATGCAGACAGCCGATAAAAGAAGATCAGATCTTAAAGAGAGATGAGCAGCAGTAATGGTCGAAGCTGCAGACGCTGGGAAAAGCATTCACAAAGCCCACCGAAGCTTCTCCAATTACAAGACCAAAATGATTGGACTCTGGAGCCCAGACGGAACAGTTACAGCGTCCAGACAGACAATGGAGAAAAACATTCACGAATGCTACTCGGATCTCTTCGATAGCCACGTCCACCTTCCGTCATATGAAATAAAGGAGGAGGGATATGTTGCACCATAGGTTCTCCCTTCCGAAATCCGACATGCCATTTCGTCTGTGAAATGTCGAGCAGCACCAGGTCCGGACAGGATAAGACAAGAGCACCTGAAGAGCCTTCTGCCAGTCCTCGTAAACACCCTGGCTCGGGTCTTCACACGTTACCTGTCTGAATGCAGGGTCCTTACTCAATGAAAGACCAGCAAGACCGTGTTATTGCTCAAGAAGGGACCTACACGATATCGGCAACTACCGCCCAATCTGCTTACTGTCTGTCGTCTACAAACTTTTCACTCGAGTCATCCTACACAGGATTGCCAGAACTAGACGAGGGACAGCCATGTGAGCAAGCAGGGTTTTGAAGAGGATTTAGTACGATGGACGACATCCACACGGTAAAACGGCTCATTGAAGTATCGCGAGAATACAAAAGGCCGCTTTGTTTCACTTTCATCGATTTACAGATGACCTTTGATCCAGTTGAGATAGAAGCAGTCTTGGAAGCCCTTGATAGTCTAGGATTCCCTACTCAGCACATAAAGATTATTCATGAGCTGTACAAAAATTTCACAACGAAGATATCACCATTCTACAATGATATTAACATTGACGTCAAAAGAGGAGCTAGGCAAGGCGATACCATCTCGCCAAAATTACTTACCGCCACCCTCCCGAACGTAATGCGAACATTGGAATGGGGTTATGTGGGAGTGAAAATCGACGGTCGGCAGTTACACCATCTTTGTTTTGCTGATGACATCGTTCTTATAACACCAAACAACCAAGCGGAACGTATGCTTGACGACTTTGATAAAGCTTGTGGAAAGATTGGTCTTCGACTAAATCTCACAAAGACGATGTTCGTGAAGAACGGATTGGTTTCGCATGCCCCATTCACGCTCAATGGGACGAATATCTCCGAATGCTCCAGTTATATCTGTCTAGGTCGGGAAATCAATATGATGAACGACCTAGTTCCAGCGCTGATCAGAAGAAAATGAGCGGCTCGGGGAGCTTTCAAGAGCATCGAGGATGTAGTGAAGAGAACAAAGAACACCCGACTCCGTGCCCACTTTTCGACTCAACGGTGCTTCCTGCCCTAACGTATGCGTCAGAAACCTCGTCGCTGCTTAAGCAGGATGAAAGGTCACTCAGCGTTGTCGAACGCGCAGTCGAAAGGTCAATGCTAGGAGTATCCCGTTTCACACAAGTAAAGGATGGGATCCGATGCTCCGATCTGTGTCAACGATCAAAAGTCAAAGATGCCGTTCTGTACGCCAAACAGTTGAAGATAAGGTGGGCCGGACACGTAATGTGTATGAATGACAACCGAAGGACAAGAGCCGTTAGTGACTGGATTGCTCGGGGTGTCAAACGTACTGCAGGAAGACCACCGACCCGATGGTCAGAGTTCTTCACAAAGAGCCTTGAAGAAAGATATGGTGCACCACGAGTCCCTAGAGTGAGCAGGATCCACTGGACTACTCTTGCACGCGATAGGGAAAAATGGAAGATTTACTGGCGTTCTCTCGAGTCACTCGACGATCAACGGGACTACAGGTGACAGGTGACAGGTGATGTATATATATAAATATATGTAAATATATACATATAAATATATGTGTATATATATATATATATATTGCTCCCAACGGTTTATCGCCTCATCGTGGTTGGGAGGTATTGGGTGTAGGGTTGTTGTACAGCGAGGGATTTACCTCCCAACAGGGTCTCTCAAGTTGAAAAAGAGTCCGGCGTTTGCGTCGGGAAGCCTAGCTAAGAGTTAACCAAAGCTAAACCAGAAACCTCCGACAAATGGGAATTGTGCTAGGGCTCTCACAAACAATTAAGACGGGACATCCAAGTATATATATATGTTTATATATATATGTATATATATATATATATAAACATACGCAGCCATATGATTTGAGCTGAATACATTTCTCCAGGATTTAATCTCTAGAGAAATCTATCTTAAGAAACACTCGAGCTGATGCGTGGAATCGCACAAGCTTGTGTAACCGCCAACTCAAGTTCAAAGATGCAGAACAATGCAAACGGACCATGAAAGAAAATGTTAAAGAGATAAGAGCACTAGTTAAGGCCGAATCTGCAGAGGCTGGGAAAAGCCTTCGCAAGGTCCAGCGAAGCTTCGCAAATTACAAAACGATGATGGTTGCACTACGACGCCCTAGACGGAACAGTTACAGCTTCCAAAAAGACGATAGAGAAAATTACTCACTATTACTACTCGGATCTCTTCAGCAGCAGGGACCTCCTACCCTCATACGCGATAAAAGAGGATGGATATGTCGCAACACCAGTCAGTTCTCTCTTCCAAAATCCGACATGCTATTTCGTCAGTGAAGAGCCGTACAACACCGGATCCACACGGGATAAGATCTCAACATCCGAAGAACCTTCCGCCAATCCTCCTTAACACACTGGTTCCGCTCTCCAAATGTTACCTGTTAGAATACAAGGTTACCACTCAGTGGAAGACCAGAAACAGCATGAAGAAGCCAGATTAAAAAGGGTGACAATCGCGGAATCGGCAACTTTCGCCCGCTCTGCTTGCTCTCCGTCGTCTACAAGCTTCACCCAGAACATTGCATAAAGGACAACCACGTGAGCAAGCAGGGTTTCGAAAAGGATTCAATACGATGGACCATATCCGCACGATGACAAGATTCACTAAAGTATCACTACGGCACAAGAAACCACTGTGACTTACCTTCGCCAATTTATAAAAGGCTTTTGAGTTATTTGAGATAGAAGTAGTAACGGAAGCAACGGACAGCCAGGGAGCCATTACTCGGTATGTAAAGATTGTTCGTGAGCTGTATAAAAATTTCACAATCTAAATATCACCATTCTATAACGATTTTAACACCGAAGTCAAAAGAGGTGTTAGGTAAGGCTATACCATCTCGCCAAAATTATTTAGTGCTACCCTCTAAAGTCGAAAGGATTACGCTAGGAGGATCTCGTATCACGCAAGTGAGAGAGGGGATCCGAAGCTCCAACCTGCATCAACAAAAAAATTCTTTGTAACTGCCACGACCGACTTTCTATTAACCTCGGCATTGATCAAGTGATTTTCTTCGTACTTTTGTTGAGCAAACGCGAAAAGAAAGTCTTTCTAGAAATCGGCTCTGAGGAAGGCGAAATCCGCCGAAGCGTCAGCTTAATCGTGAACAAAGAATAGTAACACCTCGCGTTTGCTCAACAAAAGTACGAAGAAAATTCTTTGTCTTCATCAGAGTTGATGATCCGAGCCCATTATCTACAATCATTCGTCTTCCCGATATGGTGTTTTCGTTGTCGTATCGAGACGGCCCTTCTTCAGTGGAGCATCGCTCCAATGAGGCAACCTAACTGGACAACGCTCCCTTAATACAAGGCGGCTGTTGCTGATAATGACTATCCGTTGATAATAATTTGTTTTCAACGTGCCATTCATCATGCAGGAATCGGTATCAGATAAGCTTGCACGTAGCGAAGTAATACTATTGTAAAGCGACTTTCATTCAACCTCAGTATGAAATATTAATGAACCTTAATTCATTGATAAGCTAACACAAGGTGGTTACCAAACATTTGATCAACTTACGTCTCGTCGCCACTGATATGGATCATCGGCCTTGAAGAAGGCAAAGACAACGAAACGTTAGTCGAATAAATGTTTGGTAACAACCTCATGTTACCAGCGAAATAAGTTCCACTGATCACTCTTACCTAGTTTGCATGAAAATCGATTTACAGCAGCATTAGTTCGTCACGTGCAAGCTTTTTTGATATCGACTGCTGCTGGATAGAATGTCCGTTGAAAAACAAATTATTGTCAAAGGACAATCATTACCAACAAGAACCATCCTGTATAAAAGAGTGCTACTGGATGAGGTTGACGCATTCGAACGATGCTCCACTGAAGAAGATTGGCCTCGGTACGGCAACGAAAACATCACGTCGAGAGTGCGAATGATTGTGGACCATCGACTCGAGCCATCGACCCTGAAGAAGACGAAGACGTCAAAACCTTAGCCGAATATTTCGTAACAACTTCTGTCAGTATAACTGCAATGATACTGAAAAATTTGAAAAACTGGACAGCAGGTGTCTGTGGTGAGGATCGACCATGTTATTATCCTCTCCGGAGGATAACGTGTTCATCACCATACCATGTGCGTCCTTCGTTTCGCCTTCCTCTCATCCCTATTTCATAGGCGCTATTAGTAATCACTCGTCAACGGGATTGATCTGAGGGCACAAATCTGTACTGAACCCATTTAAGCCGAAATTATAGTATAAATAGTATAGTATTACAATGTAACCAATTTATAGACACGGCTAAGAGAAAGAGGAAACGAAGGACCACATGGTGCGGCGGTGAACACAACCCAAGGAAAGTGTAATAGCGGGTTCGATCCCCACCGCACACACCTACAGTCCACAGTTTTGCAAATGTCTCAGCATCAATGCGGGTGTGACTATCAATATAATTCTTTCTTTTCAAATTGTGCTATACTGGGCCTATATTCTGTGAAGATGTTCTAGGGCGTCGTCGTTCCGGTCTTGGTAATTGACGCAGTTTCGCCCCGACAATATTTAAATACTTTTTATGCTAGGTTTTGAAGGAATCAAGCATTTTTTTTTAAATTACTTCATGTCCTCACCTTTTGTGTCTACAGAAAAGTACTGGTTATGAATTCAAAAACCTCCGCTACTTTTCCTCACTTTCAAGATTTATTCTGGAGGCATTACATCCTTTCAGAAAGTGATCGTTCAAACTGCACCTCGTGATCGAGCATTCGCCAGATAACAGAACAAATCTTTTAAAATACTTGGTTTCCACTGCTTTTTTGAAGCCGAATACATAAAACATTGACTGAAGGTCTATTTGTCTACACAATTTACAGTAAACGAAGCAGTAAATGGAAAGCGTAGAAAAAATGCGATGGCACGCACCGTGGCGAGCGTCTGGCTTCGCAACATGGGCAGGGTCAAGGAACTCCGGCCTTCTTCCACTAATTATCCCGACAATTTTCTGGTAATTCGATGATGCCTCGGGGACAAAGCACGGCACGACACGGGTGTGACTGGAAATATAATGAGTTCGGTCCGCGAGGTGATTTTCAATTCAGTAATTGATGTATTAAGTTGTGATATAGTAATGCATCTTTTCATTATAAACTGAATAGAAGGTTGCTTCAACAACAATATTCTAGAAATATGGTGGAATTCATACATACACACACTTCCATGCATAGAAAGGTATTCGCAAAATAAAGAATGGAAAGGTGAAGTGTTTCGTGCTGACCAATTCCTTACGGACGCGTCATGCATTCGATTTAATCACGGATTGTTAGAGGCGATTGAATGTGTATCTGGCTAGGACAATGACTTGCAGTGGCCTATCAAGCCATTGCTACTATCCTCCTATACGAGACCGATACCTCTGCGTACGCCGGTCACGTGATCGAACCAAAAACTGCGTTTGTATTGCATGGAATCTCTAACCACTGCGCTTCACGTGCTCTAATTTTCAAAGTATTCTCTAGTAATGATGAATAACACAAAAGGTGTGGTAATGAAGCTATGGGCGTAATATTTGATCAAATTAATGATAAATATACCTTCCAGGAACTGTCGGTATTGGGAGAGCACCGTGACCACGGACAACATCATGGCCCAGAAGATCATTCCCATAGCATGAAAGAACCATTTGCGGCCCTGAGAAAACGCCTCTACACTCTTATTAAAATTTATAAAAAGTGTATTTTTCAATGGCCATTTGATACTCTTATCATTTCAGCTGTAGACTACAGGCTAACTTGTAAATAAAAAGTTCTTTGACAAATAAATCTCTTAAAAAACCGGCTAGACTACCTTTATGGATAGCCACTGAATGGGTTCAGACAAATCCTGACGAAGGTTTAAACAAAGAACCGCTTAGAGTTGCCGATTATTGCGGTAGACCGTCGTATGCCTTTATAAAAGGGAACGTTCCCCACTATTATAGTTCTTCCAGAAAAGAAATTAAAAATCGCAAAGTACGAACTTAGGAAATTCTAAATATACGATTGTCCTCGGCTGGTCCTCAGGGTAAAAGGTTCCAACTATTCGAGATACAATCGCAATGATGTTGAGATGTTTCCAAAACTCGGACCCAAGGCCAGGTTCGAACTTGCGGTTACCCTTCCCGGGTACTCAAGTGTTACTCATTGCATCACTGTGGTTGTATTTCACGTAATACCCTGCCGTGAAAAAATAGCAGGGAAAATAAAAAGTTGAGCATTGTCCGATCATTGCAATACACTGTTAATACTTTAGCTCGTTACTGTGTACACATAAAATTAACTTACACTTAAAAGGATTCGTACTTGAGAAGGTGGCCGTGAATGGAAGATCCAGGACGAATCGGTGGGAATCACCGCGGTAGCAGGTGGCCGACAAGCCTTCTATGGCACCAGAAAGGTGACGCCAGTCCGGACCGAAACTCATCGAGAACTTCACACATAGCGACGGGATCTCAGGAAACTGAAAACAATTATTTACCTTGCCTTCTACCTCCTTCAAACTTGACACGTCTTTGATATAGCTTTCGTTTTGTAGAATAAAGTGATGGTTTATATCAGTAGTATCATCAAATTTCCATAGCTGCATGCTTTGACGAATATGAGAAACAGTTAGGAGCGGATAGCACAGTGGTAGTAAGAGCCTTTATCAAGAACATGGTGCTAGTTCGGTTCCGCTGGAGGCCAACCGTGCCTCCCATCCCCTCAGGATCGGGAAATTGGTATCGGACTTCTCTGGGAAAAAACCACACTCTGCAATCCAATTGGGAGCGCTCTAGCCTAACTATCTCAGGACTCTAGGAAGATTTGCTCGACCAGCACTCTACGACACTCAAGATGAAATGGAAATCCTCAAGCAGCAACTAAAGCCACGCGTAAAAAGTTGGAAGACCTTCGTGGACAATGGATGCGAAGAAACGAATAGGATGTGAGAGGTTCTGCGATCGCAACAGTAGACGTGAAGACGGATCAAATAAAATAAATAATAAATAACGAGCAGTTAGCACACACCGTAATAATATCATCGTAAACCGACTTTCATTAAATCTCGGTATAAATGATCAATGTGTTTCATTGATAAGCTAACACGAGGTTGTTAACAAATATTCGTTCGGCCAACGTCTCGACGTCTCCGTCTTCCTCAGCCGATAATCGGAGTCGATGTCCACAGTTTTTCGTATTCTCGATGTGGTGCCTTCTTCGTCGTAACGAGTCGTACCTTCTTCGGTGGAGCATCGGTGGAATGAATCACCCGGCTATGCTCTTCTATACAAGACGATTGTTCTCGACGGTGATTGTTCGGTGATCACTTGTTCGTTCCGGCCAATCCATCTTGCAAAAGTCAGTAGCATTATCAGCTAGCAAACAGCGTAGTAATCGTTAGGTGAGATTGCCTCATTCGAGCGATGCTCCACTGGAGAATATCCGACTTGATATAACGGCGTAGAAACCCCATTGAGAGGACGAAAACCCGTGTATATCAACTCAGATCATGGGCTCTGATGAAGATGAAGACGTCGAAACGTTATCCCAACAGAGTGTATTCATCAAGCTCGTGTTAGCCTATCTATGTAAGAAAGTACTAGAAACAATGCAACTTCATGAATTTCAGTGCTGCTACCAGTTATAACCTACCCGATGAATAATCTTGAGCTAGAAATTTTACAGTGTTATCATCCGATCCTTAAGCTTTTAACATAGTCTCGTGACTGTTCTGGTTCACCCGTTTGCTCGTTTTTAAGAATAATATCGAACAATTAGTGGACTAAAAATACCCACGACACAGTGCTAAATGATTGCCTATAGGATCTCTACAGCATAAGATGCTTCTGATTTTGTTCTCTAAGAATACTCTTTAAATTGCAGCCAGTGTAAACCTAAGCCACACCTTGCACTTCTAAGCCTAAGCCACTCATCACGAACTCACATTGGCCACACCTTGCACTTCACGGTGTGCACTTTCTTATGTTTTGGAGGCTGGTATGATTAAATGCCTTTCCGACCTCTTCACCCTCATCTAAAACGTTTCATATGAATAGCAACGCGTCCGTGACGACATGCATTGATTTCACGGCAAGTGTGGTCGAAAATAATCGGAAATAATAAGCGTCTTTGAACTTAAAATGAGCCAATGTGAGTTCGTGATGAGCTTTGATAAGGAACCATTGCACTCCTTAGCTCTTTGTCAACAAAGCACCACATTTGTGGCTTATAGAATAACTTTTCCGCTTCTTTTCATCGACAGCCTTTTTCGAATATCTGAGCGATTGAATAGTTGGGAGTCTACCGGACAGGAGATGACGGTGTCCACAACTACGTCTTCAACTGCTGCGTTGAAAATTCTGGGCGAATTTTTTCTTAAAAATGCACCCATAAACAAATTACATTAAAAAAATTATCTGTTCACATAGTGTGAGATTTGAAAACTTTCTCTATGAACCAGCCAAGTGTTCAGGTTCTCAAGTGCACACTTGTTATTAGAGAGTTATCGGCAGTCGTCAAAAAACTAGTTCTGTCATGAATGTCATACTTCATTATATGCTTGAAAATAAAGAGGTAGCATAGGATAATGCTATTGTCGTTTCATATTTGGATATAGAGGATAAGGATAAAGCTCTCTGTGCTGATCAATCCCTGAGGGATGTGTTATGCATTCGACTTCATAGAGCCTCGTTGGAGGTGACTGATTGCATGTTTGGCCTTCACAATGACTCGTTGTGACCTACTAAGATATCGAACTAGTGCTGTTATCCTCTCAGACATGTCTGCTACCGATTTGCCTAGCCCGGAGAAATAGAGGGCTTGATGAGCCTGGGGCACGGGGATCGATCCTATGTGTATTGCAGGGCGCCTCTGATCACTGCGCTACGTGCGCCCTCTTCGGATTTCGATATAAAGACTGACAATCTACTTCACCAAAGGCGGTAATGTGAAATATATTTAATAGGAAGTCTTCTGTGTGTTTCTCAAAAAAAGCACGGCAGTTGTTAATGCTCTTTATAATGGCATTTTGAAGAAAACGTCGAAGATCTTCTACGATAGGAGCTTCACCATACCTCTACCGCCCTACCGCTCTCCCATATTGCGTCACCACTAGACAACCTAATCTCATGATCGTTTGGCTGGATCTTTGAATCTTGGCTGCGAATTGCCAAAGCCAGAGTTAAGTCACTTCATTCCAGTGGATAGCACTTTTTCGTGTTAGTAACACTTCCAGCGACCACAGGTTCTGTTGAAAAGAACTCTAACATTCTTCCTCCTTTCTCACTTACATCATATCATCAACAAATTTTACAAAAACATTCTTAAACAGAGATGCACATGCGCTTGTATCCAATGTTTAAATAATTTCCGAACGGCCAACTAAAGAAGCCTCATTCCCCAGCTGCAGACAAGTGGGAGGTCATCTACGACTTTTGTAATACTACTATTTATACTCCATTTGGCGTATAAAGGGTGCATGTAGCGCAGAGGTTGGAAGCGCCCTGCAATATACATGGGATCGATCCCCGTGCTCCAGGCTCACAAAGCCTTCCATCTCACTGATGTCGGCGAATTGGCACCAGACCTGCCTGAGAGGGTAGGACTGGCTCGATACATCGGTTGGCAACTGTCATTGAAAAGTCATTGAAAAGACCAGGTACGCATACCCATTCACTCACCTTCAACGATGCTTAATGAAGTCGATTACATGGCGCACTCAGGGTTAGATCAACGCTGAAAGCACTACCCTTTTCCGCCCTTTTTTGGGAAATGAAATGCATTCTAGACAATGACATAAATAACGTGGAAGCTACATTTTAATGAAAAGATTAAGTATTACTTAGAATACATAAAATCACTGACTCTACCTCCGCTGACTCGATATGACCGTTAATCAGTAGAAGGAAGGCCTTGTTCTGTGCCATTCGTTTTATAAACTCGTATTTTTTGTCATGTCGATGACGATTGGCAGGTACTTTCTTCTAAAATGGCTAATTACACCAGTAAGGAGGCTACTGGTAGAAAGGAGAAACAAGGAAATATTATGCACAACTGTTTTCGGGAAGCGCAGTCATGTTTGCCAATTGTAAGTGCTCACGTTAAACCGCCAATTTTTGGACGAGGTTTACACCTGTTGAAGTTATCTCCGACGGTTTACTGCTTTATCGTGGCTGGGAGGAGCTCCTGGGTGACTGGTTGCGATGTGCAGGGGAGGGATTCATTCCCCAGCAGGGTCTCCCAAGCTGAGAAGGAGTTTGATGTTAGGAAGCCCAGCTAAGAGTAAACCAATAGCAGGGTCCACCACCGTCCTGGTATCAAACTGGTCGCACGGTGGCAAGTCCCACTCTGATCCACAAGGCAGTGACTGCCTGTGGTGGCGACGACCTAGGCAGACTTTGGTGTGGCTGACCTCGGGACTCCAGGAAACCACCATGGATAAGCCAGCAAAACTCCGAAAAAATGGGATTTATGCTAGGGCCCGTACAACCAGTGAAGACGGGCATCTGAGTATCCAAGTAAGTAGGAAGCTATCCTCAATCCATGGCGTTCTGATCCGGAATGTCGCAGTGTTTAATTTATCGGTGGAGGGGCAGCATCATGGGAAAATCACGAATTTAGTACGATCAACCCAGCAAGGAAAACAACGCTAATGAGATCAATTTGGAAGATTGTTGAACGGAACCGATGCCAAACAGCGATTGCAAGCAACATGCTGCAAGTCGATGATCGAGCTGTTTAAGCAGTAAGCTAAGAGCTTTAAATTGATGAGAGAATGATGATCAGTACAGGAAGTTAAGCCTTCTAGAAGGAATTGTTTCCAGAAGAATTAGAAGGTCCGTCCAAGTGACTCCACTAATTCCATCCACGTCGTCATGACAACGCGCCTGCTCCGAACACTATCTAATGAGCTACTGAAAGGAGTTGGTCCATTAGTTGAGAAGCATACGAACGGTAAGTAGTTCGAGAATCCAGGAGCACATCCTGATAAGTAAGAAGTCGGATGTACTTGATCATGAGGCCCTTCGTAACCGTAAGAAGGGAGAAGTACGGCGCATCTCGCATCTCTGAACAAATACACTCCAAAGGAGCTTGTTGTGAAAATTACACTAGGGTCACTAGTCTAGACCACATATGTTGTTCCTCGGAAGGCTAAGCCACCAAAGAGGAGATAAATCAAGCACTCTTCTTGTCAGTAATAGTTTTCTAGGCTCCTCTCTCTACATAATAGGCTCGGTCCAAGTCCATGCCAAGCCATATTTCCCGTGAACTTCCACTTTTGGGTTAACATGTACGCTAGCAATTCCAGCAAATTAGTAGGAAATTTCTTCCAGAAGAAAAGTTTTAGTGAAAAAGAAACAACTGGCAAGAGAACACAGATGGCACTACGAAGCAGTAAGGTTTTATCCATATCGAAAGTCCATATCAGGTCTATCAGGTCTATATTCCACTTCCTAGACGCCTATACTACTTTAGGTGCTACTTTCCCGCCTCGTGAAATCGAAAAACATTTGGAGTCGTTCTACTCGTCAATCCGAGTAGGCCAGCACCAATAGCCAGTATAATATATGATTGACCATAAACAACACCACAGACAAAGGACGAGGTCCCTGAACTCTATGTAGGGACCATTTGTGAACCCAGGTTGCCCGCTCCTCATCGATCCACCTTCTGTTTGAGGCGCTTCCAGTTCCATATCCCTTTCTCAAACGCGCTCCAATCGCAGATTGGCCCCGCTCCAACATTCGGGATGTGCAGGCATTGGAAACGGTGTGCTATCTTTCTCTTCGGGTGTACATTCCGATATCTCTGGATGTTTTCAGGCAGTTGTAGGCCGATATCGAAGCCATAGGGATATCCGTGGTCCATATCCTTTCTAATATCCTTAAACGACTTGGTTTGATTTTAGGAGGGTTCATTCGGTTCGATCTTAGTAGGGTTTTCTTCCATTTACAACCGCATTTGCTTGTGGAGCTCTGGATATCCCAAGTAGACCTGGAATAATTACTTTCATTTCTCCTCAGATTGATATGGGCAGGTAGTTATTTATTTTACGGCTAGGTGAAGCTTTCACCACCGCCTCATTGAAATTTCTTATCGTGGTCATCATAAAATATCTTCAGAGTTTCTTCAGTCAACTTTTCGATTTCTTTGGTTCTTTTTTCGACCAAAGTGTTGGACTTGATTTTTGCAGTAATTGATCGGGAATGATAGCTAGGTCTATATGTCGTGCAGTGGCCCACACACGCCGTGGGTTCGCTGCTGCGGCTGCCTCCGCTCAGCACCCGAATGCAGATGAGCTCCGACTAACGTTCGCTTCACCAGATACGGTGAGTAGATGTCATTGTTCTTTGTTCTTATGTAATAATTTTGGCTAGGAAAGGTATCAGGAATGGGCCGGGGAGGGATCCATTAACTTCACTAGCTTCATTTAGCAATTCTGGTAGGAGAACGGGTGCTGTTTCTATGCTGCACCTAAGAAACCGCCAAAGATTTGAAGAGATGTGTTAATGAATGTGGTAGATTCTCGAATAATTGGTAGTACACTCATCTTTTACAGGCCGTATTTCCATTATGTTGTCACGTACACGATTTTGAATGAAGTAGTTTTCCTTTTTACTTTTATGCGCTGCCTATTGTTTTTCATGGCAGAGTTAAGGATAAAACATAAAGCTCTCGGCGCTGATCAATCCCTGAGGGATGCGCTATGCATTCGACTTCATTAAGCATCGTTAGAAGTGATAGTTCGCATGTCTGATCTTTACAGTGACTCCCAATGGCCCACCGATGTATCGAGCTAGTGCTCCTATTTACCCCGACAAGTCTGGTGCCAATTTACCGACCCCGGAGAGGTGGAGGGCTTGGTGGTTCTGAGACTCGGGGATCGGTCCTACGTGCATCGCAGGACGCCTTTGACCAATGCGCCACAAGCGCTCCTCATATTATGTGAAATACAAACACAAGAATGCTCAGATATGAGCATATCTCCGCATTCTTGTGCAATTGATCCTTTGTCATTTAGTCGCGGGGAAACTGTTAATGTTATTATGTATTCAAACAAATAGTGGGGAATGTGCTCCACCACCTCAGTTAGGCATGAGAGCTAAATGTTTGGGTATCCAAGTGTGATGTACGCTAGAAGATCCATTTTACAGCATGTTTTCCAAGCTCAGGAATTCGAAATTTTCATTCCGAAACCCACTTGAGAATAAATCAGTGCCATAATTCTCCACCATTCTAATAACAACCTCGTCACGAGGTGCTAAGTCTCCCTCTCAGGACCTCACTGAATAGAAAATTCATCCCGGAGAGCAAACTAGTTATCCAGTTGGAGTTGTTCGTGGCCACGTACGATTTCTCGTTAGGGCGAGTAATTCATGGAATAAGATTGATATGTAATGGAAGCAGTGGAATTTTCTAGTATTTTGCTTAGCCGAAAACAACCCACCCTTTCAGTCACATGAAAATGTCTGAACTGTAAGCATATTGTAGACTCTACTGATGTTTACCAAATAGATACTAATTTTCATCTTTTACCACTGTAAGACTCATTCTTCCTTTTTACTCAGGGATTGTTTTTTCTTCGCTCTCATTCTTCGAGGTTTACGTTTTAAAATTGGAGCTATCACCTCAAAAATATTAGATTTGTTTAAATTGTCCGAGCATTTTTTGGGTCTTATTTTGAATGCTTTAAATTGGTAACATTATAGGAAAAAGTCGATACCATTATAGCGCTACAGGACCACCATAGCATAAGGTCTCTTTCGTGAAGTCGTCGACATTATCCGAGTTGTGAGCGTGTAGCACAGTGGTCGGAGGCGCTCGGTAATGCACATGGAATCGATCCCCGCGCCCCAGGCCCGCGAAGCTCTCCATCCATCCAAGGTCGGCAAATTATAACTTGACTTGTCTGGGAGGAGCACTGGCCCGATACATCCATAGGCCACTGAGAGTCATTGTAAAGGGCAGGTATGCATCGAGTCACCTCCAAACGATGCCTGATGAGGTCGAATACATGGCGCATCACTCAGGGATTGATCAACGCTGAGAGCTTTATCCTTTTTGTTATCCAAGTTTTCAACTACTTCGGTTATCGGGGAATTACCAACAGCTGTCGAATAACTTGCGTTGTCGAGGATAGATTTTAATGGAAAGCTAGTATTATACCAGTTTAGGTTGTTTCTGTATTTTTCAAGGTTGAGGACAGTAACAAGGAGTAGCGATAATGTTTTGATAGAAAAAAGAATGTTGTTTATGAACAGCTTCGTACACAGCATACTTCGTTGTCACTGGAAATGTTTTTATACATATAAAAGCTGGATATCCACTTTGCGGATGCTCCAGGGTAAGGGGCTGTTCGGCCGTAGTTGGGGTGTCGGATGCTCCTGGTCTTCCATCGGTTCAATATATAACGAAAAGGGGTAAAGATGCAATGTTTCGCTATTTGGTATGTATTCTTTGTTCAAACCATTTTTCTATTAACAGTGATAGGACAAATACCTTCGTCTTCTGACTAGATTTGGGCTGTCTAGCAATTCAGAACATCTTCCTAAAACCAATTAGTACGGCAACCTTTTTCTTGCCTTTCTTTAGTTGATGCCTCCTACATAATCTTTTTTAAATTAAAATCCATGTGTTCTAGGCTTTCTATAACAACGATGTCGTCAAGCAAGTTGATATACCAACACTTGCTGGTGTGGTGGGTGTCCTAGCGAACCACGTTCCCACCATTGGTGTTCTCAAACCGGGCGTAGTTTCAGTTATCGATCTTCAAGGTTTTTCTTCGGTTTTTTTTTTAAATATCGCATAAACTGTGCTACTCTAGGCGGCTGGTTTCCTTTTATAAGATCCCACACCAAATAACCTTTACGTAATGATTACACCAGTACAAAATGTCTAACTTTTTGTTTCTCCGTGAGTTATCCAAGTGAAAACTATGTGAACTTTGCGGATTATCTGATGCAAATACCTGGACGGCGAGAAAACTCATATCTTAACGAGTCATTTTCGAAGGACATGGATATTGAAGTTTTCAGGCAAAAGCCTTATATAACAGTGTGATTTTTCGGTGCAGACTCATTTTGGAGCAAAGTATTTCATTCCAGGAAATGTAGAGAAGTTTTTCGTTTCATCTGGTACAATGTCAATGAACATTGATGGAACCTGCCAGGTGTTGGCTGAGGAAGTAGTGAAGGTGGATGATATCGACCAAACGGTTGGTATGAGTGTATTTTAAATGGCCCGCCTTACATATTACTTTGGGTAGGTGCACAACCTTCAGAGTGCCAGTCGATTTTTAGCTGGTGCTTGTACGATTGTGTGCTAGAGAATTGTACCTTTCTATGTCTGTTGTGCCGTATTTGTCACTGCAGTAGGATGGAGGCAACAGTTAGGGAAAAGCTTTAAGGACGAATAATTCTGTGTTTTTCAAAAGCTTGATGTTTAGGCTGCTCGCGCAGAACTCGAGGCTGCACAACGTGCTTCTGTTGAGGGAAGCGACGTATCCAAAGCTGAAGCGCAGATAAGAGCCGAGGTTTGAATTCCCAAGTTCGATATTGGTTCCCACTTAGATTGCACAGTTATTCAAGGTGTTAGTGGTTTTTTTTTAACTGACATCTGTAAATCTGTTGCAATATAATTGCGCCCAAATTATTCCTTTCTTAGTGACAATGACTTGGAGAGTGATGTGAGGGTTACAGTTGCGTGACGAAGTTTCTGTAAATTTCAGGTTGCGGACGCGCTGCTTAAGGCTTCTACAGGACAACAGTGAATATGAAGTAGATCAACATAGAGTAAATTATCATCGTCGTGCGAGAGGATGTTTGAAGTCTTGATTTCGTGTTTCACGGAGTTTTAAACGTATTATTGTTTATGTATGATAGATTTTCAATCTTAGTAAAGGTTTTGAATTTCACACGACAGAGTGTACATACGGAATCAAGAAGATTAGGGTATGGCTTCGCCATTTCTCCACGTTATGTAGTGATCTATCACAATAGTACATGTCGTTACATTGATTGATACAATGTAGTGTATTGCAGTGATTATCAATTTGTATGGAACATAATATGGTGTACTTGCAAACCACTGCGCAGTTCTGCTGTTGATGAGTAATTGCCAACAGTGTTAGAGTAAAAAACTGTTTGAGAGAAAACCAAAGCAGGGGTATTGGTTGGTATGGTGGATAGCAGGCGACCCCATGGAAAGAGTAGTCGCGGGTTCGCTGAGGTAGTGTGGGTTTTACTCATATCTAGGCGTACTTGTGATCGTATTTTTCCTGTAGGTTGAGGATTGTTTGCACATTTGGGATGAAGCGTAGTTCTGTGTGGCTTTGTGTTGGGTGTGTGCTTCTTCGCTTGGACTTTGTGAGTCGAAATCAGCTCGTATCGGCCGCGGTGTCCTGGGAAAAGATGACCCACATCTCTTATTGGGCATTTCGACCAATTATTTGAACATTCTATGTGTTTTAGTAGTGACTTCTGCGTGCTTCATATTATTTGTGTCCTCTGTGTCCTTATGGGTATTTTCCATGTTTTTGGGAGATGCTTAACCTTTGTATGCGAGCAATACAAAATCGAATATGTACTGCACTCGATTACGACGCTGTCAATCTCTTATAGTCAGTTCAAAACAACTCTGAGAACACGGTATTTTTCATATCCGCTGTTTTTTTTTCTGATAGCCATGACAAGAAGCAACAAAAAGTTAGAAATCCACTGTTACTTATTATAGTTCACGGTCCTAGTTTTCCATAGCTTTCAAAAGTCCTTTGATAAGAAAAGCACTTGAGAAGTCAAGGACTTGGCAGACACATGGAGGAAGCTTCGTTGTGTCAATGGAAATGTGTATTCATTTCATCTAGTAACCATAAATGTTATGACTGATAACATCCATTATGAGCTGAAATATGTTAATTTTAAAGGGAATTTGAAGAGTTGGAAGGAAGCATGCGATAAAGTTGTGTTCCGCAATGAAAGTAATACACATGCAAAATTGTCCTTCATGCCGACACGTCGGATAGAGGCAAATATCTCCACACCGATAGTTTGCACACGAATATTTTCTGGGTGATAACTTGGTCCATAAAAGAGCACATCTGATCCGAGGAAGACGGCCTGAACAGATATTAGGAAGATGGAGAGGCACTGGTATGACATCTAGTGCAGATCATGCGCCCTGTTCCGCAAGCTCGTAGAAAACGCGAGTTGTTGAATGCAACGCAAAACTATGGACACAAGAAACCTGTTCTCTATAAGTTGGAAAAACGAAGTTGTAAAATAGTCGCTTCAATGGAATAGCACAAGCTTCAAAATATGAATAAAACGTTATGGAATAGGAGCTGAGGAGTTCTTCTAAAGTGAAATAACTGGAAGGAACATAGATGAGTGGATACTCTGAATACGGTGCAACTGTTCAGCTGACATCGGCACCATGATTGCATCTATAAAATCCTTCACTAGCAACAGTCAGAAGCCTCACCAAAAGCAAACACGGGCAGCTAACAGTTCCTTCTAACAGTCAAATGTGTGACACAGCTTATCTCGTATTGATTCGTGATAGATTCATTCAGTTACCAGTCATTTGAACTACCAATTAGATGAAGAAAGCTTGGCTAGAAAGTTTTCAAAGTTCCGTCAGAATAACACTGGAAGAAGCATAAGTGGAAATCAGTTCTTGTATGCGAGTATGTTAGCCAGTTGTGAGTTGATAACGACTCCCTATCGTCGAAGATGCCAAGCATCCCTTAATAAACTTACATAAGTGAGCCGAGACGAGGTTGGTGTAACAGTTTTATTCGACAGTAATTGTGTAAGGGAGTAACGTTTGAGACCGTAGGATACAAGTATTTTCCTCAGCTATACTTCGATATAAAAAATTCGCCTAAACAGCTATAAAGGATAAAAGGATAAAGCTCTCGGCGTTGATCAATCTCTGAGGGATGTGTAATGCATTCGACTTCATTAAACATCGTTTGGAGGTAACGGGAACAAATTAAGTACTAGGTGTGCCTTTCAGGGAAACTTTAATCACTGCGCAATGTACGCTCTAAAATCAAAAGACGAAATCAGAACTATAAGCAATGGTAAGGTTTCGCGCTACAGTGAAATGTGGAAGCTCCCGCAGTATAACACAAAAAAAAAAGAAAATAATGAAGTAAGAAAACAATAAGAGGATGCCAAAAGTGAGAAAAAGTAAATGAAGTCAAATCAGAAGAAAATTTTAAAAGATCAAAGGAAATCAGAATAAAAGTCATAGCAATGTAACACTCACATGACGATAATACCATCCAATGCCTGTGTTCAATATCCGATTTTTTTAAAACTGATATCTCAATCGGCCATGGAAGCCAGCGTTCTCAGCTTTGTCCGCAAAAACCTTCAATGGGCCATAGAACAATTTCATAACGAGAATTCTGTTTTCTTTTCCGCTATTCTATGGCTATCGACATAGAAGTCAGAAGAAGGCAGCAGAAGGAGCCGAGGAACTTGAGGAGCTTGCAAAAGCATTGAGGATGTAGTGAAGAGAAAGTGGGAATCCGACTCCCTTCTCCTCCTTATTGACTGTATAATTCCTTCTGGCACAACGTATACGTCGGAAGTGTTGTCCCTACGCGAGCCTTCTGGAATACCATCCAAAGCTAATGATCGCCCAGTCGAAAGTGCGATGCTGAAAGTATACCGTATCTTGCAATTGAGAATGAAACTTTGATGTTCTAATCCACCTCATCAGTCACAGGTCATAGGCCTCTCTACATGCCCTAAAATGTTGAAAGTTAGGTGGGTAGGAGACGCGTTGCACAGTTAACTGCAATCGGTAGACATGTGCTCTTAACGACTGGCTTACACGGTGTGTCACCCGCACAAAAGGATGGATGACCAACGACTCGATATTCAGAATTCTTCACAAACATCACAGAAGAGAAGATTACGACTCTGAGGTTACCATCGAGCGAGCGGACCCCTGCATGCGCTCTTGCACAGAACAGAAATAAATAGAGATTTTGCTAGTATAAAATCGCCGCCGAAAGGATGAGAAGAAAAACAAGTGGCAAGTGATATTTAATCCTATCAGTATCAAAATGGTGAAAAACCATCTTTAGCGTGGAAAAAGCGTAGAATTGCGCGGGTTCCAGCACGTTTTGCATTTGAGTAACAGTTTGCTAGTTGAGAAAGATTCTTATTCCATGAAGTGTTGATAGTTGAGCTAAGGCTTTCCCTGCTTGTCACCATTTGCCGCTTAAAGACTCCTTAGTAGCCGGCAATGCAACGTTACGAGTCGCTGCAGTTCGACACGACATTTCCTATAGTAACGATGAGACCGTACGCTATTTTGGAAAAGGATATATTAATATTTCGTCAGGCTGAATAGTGTAGCCGTGTACTGTAATGTAACCGCCACACAGATTATAACGTCGTTTTGAGGAGAAAGGCCAAATTTCAGAAGAGTGTAGTGTAATTAGGAGTTCAACCAATGATGCAACAAATCGATCGAACGACACAAAGGTGGTGTTCATTGAAAAAGTATTACAAGCCGCTGAGACGGCTGAAGAAATAAAGATTTCAAAAGCCTTTTTTGGCGGTCCAAAAGTGAACAGCAAAAGACTATCCACTCTTCGAAACTACGTCGTTTCCGGCATTAGCTCATCGTCCGTCAGGCGGTGATAAGATCTGAGCCTTCAGGTCAGTCTACTCTCGTTAAAGGACGCTGAAAGAAAAAACGTTTAGCCTTGACTAATTGTGGTGGGATGTCGTGTAGTTGACTTCATTAGACAGGTAAGAGCTAAAAACCCAGGAATATATTGAGAAACACCTCTGCATCCTAATGGGCGAAATTCTGCTTGTTCATCTGTTTTGGTGTGTTGAAAATACTGGATTCAACAAAAAAGGAGTATGGAGAAAAATACATCTTGAAAAACCAAAATATGGATAGAATGAAGCCCTCGATGTTTTCTATTGAAATTAATAGGATTAAATAAGTGCTGTGATATGTTGGTCTGTAGTCGAAGGTGCTCTCCATTTCCGCACCATACGTATTGAAATCGACGCGCGTCTTCATGAATGTGTTTGCCCATGTACACAAAACAAAGAACTCGTTCATAGTGGGCGAAATCGGCCACTCGTTCATGTCGTCGTAATATTTAGAATTGACACATTATCTGCACCGTTTCGAGTGCTTCGCTTAGCTTCGGCCCGGATCGGCGCCGGAGAAACGACTTGATCCGAACTTAAATGAACCTGTCAGATGTAGAGATTACAAATGCGCGTGCTTGTACGCTGACTCGATTTATTGTATCTGTTTAAAACTTGTTAACAACTCTTTATCTTTATTATTGATGCTCTCAGTGCTTGCACACAGATGTTCAGCTTAGAAGAACTACTTTTCGAACATGCGGTAGCCTTGAGAGCGTCTATGTCAGTAAGCATTCCATATCGCGCTTACCCTTCTTGTTTTGTCCTCCTTTGACTTCTGTCAGCTGTAGACAGTGACATTTCTTTTTCATTTCGAAACACGGCGAGATATTGAGCTATCGCTTGGGAC